GGATATTCCCTACCAGCTTTCATCCAACTTTTATCCATCACAAGCCAATCTAAAATAATAATAACATAGTTAAACATTTGTTAACAACATTTTAACAAATTTATATAATTATAACTACTACAACAACTACACTATATTCATTTCGGCCAATTAGTATTACATTTTTCTCACAACATTTTAAGTTAAATTATTTGGTAAGTTATATACTTGAAAAAGGCAAATTATGGACCAAGATTCACCTAGCATGGTGGGCCTTGGTCCAAAACATCATTTTATATTAAGTATCAACTAGTGCAATATATTCAATAACATCATCATTTATTATACACTTAGCTTGTTCACTTAAATTATTTGGTAAGTTATATACTTGAAAAGGCAAATTATGGACCAAGATTCACCTAGCATGGTGGGCCTTGGTCCAAAACAACATCATTTTATATTAAGTATCAACTAGTGCAATATATTCAATAACATCATCATGTATTATACACTTAGCTTGTTCACTTAAATTATTTGATAAGTTATATACTTGAAAAGGCAAATTATGGACCAAGATTCACCTAGCATGGTGGGTCTTGGTCCAAAACAACATCATTTTATATTAAGTATCAACTAGTGCAATATATTCAATAACATCATCATGTATTATACACTTAGCTTGTTCACTTAAATTATTTGATAAGTTATATACTTGAAAAGGCAAATTATGGACCAAGATTCACCTAGCATGGTGGGCCTTGGTCCAAAACAACATCATTTTATATTAAGTATCAACTAGTGCAATATATTCAATAACATCATCACGTATTATACACTTAGCTTGTTCACTTAAATTATTTGATAAGTTATATACTTGAAAAGGCAAATTATGGACCAAGATTCACCTAGCATGGTGGGTCTTGGTCCAAAACAACATCATTTTATATTAAGTATCAACTAGTGCAATATATTCAATAACATCATCATGTATTATACACTTAGCTTGTTCACTTAAATTATTTGATAAGTTATATACTTGAAAAGGCAAATTATGGACCAAGATTCACCTAGCATGGTGGGTCTTGGTCCAAAACAACATCATTTTATATTAAGTATCAACTAGTGCAATATATTCAATAACATCATCATGTATTATACACTTAGCTTGTTTACTTAAATTATTTGGTAAGTTATATACTTGAAAAAGGCAAATTATGGACCAAGATTCACCTAGCAAGCTAAGATTTGTTCACTTAAATTATGTATTATATTCATAATATTTGTTCTATATATCTATAAACTAAACCTTATTCCTTAATGTTCATACACAATTATTCCTAAAATTTCAAGATATACACAATAATATATAAACAAAATTTCATAAAATTCCACATATACACAACAATTCATAATTGACCCACTAACTTATAAAATTAAATATATACACAATTATTCCTAAAATTTCGAAAATATACACAATAATAATATATAAAATTCAAAATTCAAAAAATATATATACATAACCATTTATAATATATATATATATATATATATATATATATATATATATACACACATATATATATATATATATATATATATATATATATATATATATATATATATATATATATACACGTACGTACCTTGCAGGAGAGGCGGCGACCGGCGACGACGTTGGGCGACGGCGAGGACGACAGCGAGCGAGGCCGAGGCCGAAGACGAAGACGACGGCACTGTTGCGAGCGAGGCCGAGGACGACGTCGACGTGCGGAGAGCGAGGCCGATGGCAGTGGACGACGGCTTAGGCGGCGGTGGAGAGCATCGGTGGCGTAGGGCGTTTGGAGCAGTGAGGAGTGAAATGTTGAGCTAGGAGTGCCGATCTGAAAAGTTCTAGCTAGCTAGCTTCATTAATTTTTTTTTTTTAATTTATGTATACGGCGTCGGCGTTCTACGACGCCGACGCCGTATACCATTTAAATATATATTTTTTTAATTATTGGAGATACGGCGTCGGAGATTAATTCTCCGACGCCGTATCTACTATTTATTTTTTATTTTTTTTTTAAAAATTCGAGTATACGGCGTCGGCGATATACGTCGCCGACGCCATATACCATTTTAATTTTTTTTTTTTAATTATACGATACGGCGTCGGAGATTTAACTCCGACGCCGTATCTCCTATTTATTATTTCTTTTTTTTTTAATTTGAGTATACGGCTTCGGCGTTATACGTCGCCGACGCCGTATACCATTTTTATTTTATTTTTTTAATTATTAGAGATACGGCGTCAGAGATTAATTCTCCGACGCCGTATCTACTATTTATTTATTTTTTTTTTAAATTCAAGTATACGGCGTCGGCGATATACGGCGTCGGCGATATACGTCGCCGACGCCGTATACCATATATATATATTTTTTTTTATTTGAGATACGGCGTCGGCAACGTATAACGCCGACGTCGTATCTCGTATTTATTTTTTATTTATTTTTTATTTAATATACGGCATCGGCCATACCAAATAACCGACGTCATATGTATTTTCTAAAAAAATAAAAAATAATTTTAAATATTTAACGTCGGATTTTCAAAAAACCGACGTTATAATGTAGACGTTAAATCCGTTTTCTGTAGTAGTGTGGGTTAGATAAACTCGTAAATTTAAATTAGAAAAAAAAATCTAATAACATTTAATAATAATTATTTTTTCTTGAGATATAAACTAACATGTTTTTGAATAAAAAATTGTTCAAACGTGAGTTCGTTTGTAAACTAACTATTTCTTAAGATATAAATAATGCACTATTCTACCATATTTGTCAATTTGGTTTCGCAAAACAAATTAAACACACGCGATTTGATAAATTTATATCTATATAACAATAGAAGAGTCCAAATTAGTACAATTGCAACTTGGAACCTTTAAAGTAGGCATGGTAACTAGGGGTGGGCATTTCGGGTTTCGGTTCGATTTTTTTTAGTTTTAAAACAATTAAATCATTCGGTTTATCAATAGAGTTCGGTTCGGTTTGAAAAAGTTCGGTTTCGGTATTCGGTTCTGTTTTGCCGGAAGTCAAACACGCTTAACCATAGAGTTCTATGGTACCTGGTTGCCATATCCTACTCAAAATCAATTGGTGATAAGTAGGTGGACATTAACCATTTAACCATATCTCTCCATGGTAAGCCACAGCGCCACGTCTCGAATCGAGCAGGGGCTGAACTCGGCCAACCCGGCCGACGCCCAACATAATCAACAATTAAAGTAATTATATAATGATTTTAATAAAATGATAATTAAAGAATAGGAAAAAGATATCATAGATATAGGTGTATGATAATAATGATAGAGTTATGAAAGTTAAAATTAAATAGTAACGGCGTTATAACGGTGTAAGGGTACTTTTGTCTAACAAGAATGTAGTAGGGACAGTTTTGTCCATTATAATTGGAGTGTACAACATTTAATGAAAAATGTATATCTTTATTAGCATACAAATGTAAATATTGACACAAATGTGCCTATAGCTTAATGGGTAAAGCTCTTGCTTTCTAACTTGATGATTAATTCACCGAGGGGATTAGACACTGTGTAAAAAACTTGATGATTAAGGGTTCAAACCTCACCTTAGACATTTAATACATTATATTATATAAAAAAAAATGATCGGTTTTTCAGTTCGATTTGGATTTTATCCGAACCGAGTACCGATCAGTACTTCGATTTAAGACTGGACGAAATGCACAGCCCTAATGGTAACGGGGCAGCAAGACGGGACGAGGAGTATACTTCCCGTTATCGTCTCCATTCCGGACGAAAAATTTAAAATAGTCTCAATCCCCGTCCCTGCAGAGAATTAGGCAGGAGCCAATCAACTGTTAGTCAAAATTTTAAATTAGTGTAATTTTTAATTTTAAAAACTAAAAACCTAAGTCTTTTATATATATATATATATATATATATATATATATATATATATATATATTCAGTTTAGATAAAAAATCAGAATGAAGCAATTTTTATTCGCAGAACACATTGTTCTGCCCTCTAGAGCACAATGTTGTACCTTATAGATCATAGGGTGCACATTGCTTTGGATAAATAAGTTAACCTTTTTTTGTCTTTCGGTACATTTGAACATATTATTGAACCTTTTAGAGCATATTAATGTGCTTTAGTTTTACAATAATATAGTAGGTGTTATATAAATGGATATGCTATAAATAGTGGTAATAATAATATTTGTGTTTGGAAGATGTAGAATTTGCTTCCAGTGTTAATTAATATTATACGTGCCATCCTGATTGATGCCATTGTTATTATCCTAGCTAAAACCTAAGGACCCAAAACAGTCTTATACAAGTATGATCTAGAAATTAAATAAGGGTTTCAATATCCTTATTTATTCCTGATATTCTTATTCTCAATAGTTTTATCCCTCATCAAAAGATTTGTGGACCAATTATCATTTAAACAATCTTTTATATATATAGGGGATGGTTCACATGTGAATAGTTTGTCAAGTTAAAAATGTGATGAGATCTGAGCCTTCGATCTAATCTACATCAACTGCTCAAATCAAGAAAAAAAAAAACAAGCGAATTAGATGTATTTTCCTTCCATCATTGTTGAACTGATGCACCTCAGGCTTCAAATTTATGCACCCTATATGTTGTATTAATGCACCTTAATGGAGTGTTTTATAGGATGGAATTACAATTTCATTCCTACCAAATTTCATGGATTTGCACTTCAGAATTGTTATCGTCCACTTTTTCCTTCTCCATCTCCAATTCCTTCAGGGCCTCGGCCTCAGCAGCCTTCTCCGCCTGCAAAATTGGGGAATAGTAATCCGAATGCGCCTCCATACACTTCTTCAGAGCAGATGTGACCTCGAAGCATTTTTCAACAATGTCTTCCTTGTTCTTCTCGCCTTCTTCCACACACTTCTCCCACTCGATAAAGGGGTCTCTACACCCTCCCCCCTTCATGAACAAGCAAAACCCGCATTCCCCTTCCTCCTCCTCTTCCTCTGGAATTTCTTCTTGGGATTCTTGATCGCTCTTCTCCGGCGGAGGATCTGAGGATTCTCTGATTGGGGCGTCGGGTTCTGGGGTTTCTGGCTCTGGGTCGGCCTCGCTTTGTACGGATTTTGACGGAGACATTGCGATCGGTTGGCTAGGGTTTGGGTTTGCAGTAGTGGAGGAATCGTCTTCCATGGCTGCTCTTAATTCTTAAACCCCTATTTGTTAAACCTCCAAAGAATATTTCCTTTCAAGTTTGACCTTTTAGAAGAGAAAGTCTCTGCAATGAATATTTATTATAGGCCGGAAGGCACTTGAGGGCCTATTGTCTAGCCCAATTGTCAAGAGTCCATATGTATATGTATGATTATATGTTATATTAATTATTTTTATATCTTAAGAAAAGAATTATTATTACATGATATTAGAACTATATAAAATTAGATATTTCTTTTGTAGTTTTTTTTTTTTTAATTCATACATTTTTATTTAATGGAAGGTTAGAAGTTTAACTAGTGAGAGTTGGATATTGGTTTTATTGGTTTGAATCGACAATTTATGAATAATCTAGATTAGTTTAATGCATATCATTTGGTGGTAAAATAAAAGTTAGGAGTTTAATTCTTATCAAACTAAAAGTTAGGAGTTTAATGTAATGTTTTGTTAAATTTTGGATACATTTAATGTAGTTTAGGAATTTCCAAAATATGTTGGCTTTGCAGGCAAGCAACTGCAAACTCGGAGTTGCACCATTGTAAAAATAAAAAATAAAAAAAATCAAACTTTTATGAAAATTTAAAATATTAGAAAATTATTTTCACTTTTGGTGCAATCTTTTGACTTAAGAAAGTTTGAATAAAAAAAAAAGTAAATCTCTGGGAGGTATAATTTTTTTTTACGGTGATTGATAATCTATCAAATTTATTTAATTATATATTTATCGTTTTGACATCAAGTTAAAAATTTCTTGAAAAAGTAGAATGTTGAAGAATGTCTACCGTTAACAATCTCGAATCTATTGAAAAAGGAGCTATTGGGTTCAAATTGTCAATAATAATATTATAGTATATGTTCAATAGTCTAGTGGTTATAGTTTGATTGACTTATTAGCCTAGCTATTCTATAGGAGACTATTATGTTAGTCATCCCTATAGGACGCTATTGTGTTGTAACCGTTTCTCAATCTATCGATTCTGAATCAATTACGCTCATCTGGTATCCTGAATCATGTGCCTACACGCACGAACAAAATGGTTGAGTTGAGCGCCGAAACAGACACATTGTCGAAACCGGTTTAGCATTACTTGCTGATGAAAGCTCGGTCCCGCTAAAATATTGAGATTATGCGTTTGAAACAGCCACCCACCTAATCAATTATCTCCCGTCGTCTGTAATACAATTTGAAAGCCCACATTACCGTCTACATAAAACACCCCTCCCCCCGCCCCCCACATACACATTCCTTAGAGTCTTCGGATGCCGCTGATTTCCCTATCTTAGGCAGGACTCTATTGTGTTGTAACCGTTTCTCAATCTATCAATCTTGAATCAATTACGCTCATCCAAATATCAAGAAAGATAATAATTTTTTTTTTTTAAAAAAAAAGGTCAAAAAGCAATAAAGCACCTTTTCAGTAAAAAGAAGACTTGCATACCGCCCGCATGGGTAGCTCAACTGGTTATAGAGGTGAAACTTTGGAATAATGACCAGGGATCAAGTCTCACCAGCGATAGTGTGGGAGCACCCTCTCAAAATGAGGGGGGCTTCTTGTGCGCAGTGAGCACCGGTCTAGCCTACTTGCATACCAAATGAATTTTGGAGCGAATTTTAAGGGTTCACAACTTTTGGACACATCTACTTACCTAAGAGGAGGAGGGGGGCTTCTTGTGCGCAGTGAGCACCGGTCTAGCCTACTTGCATACCAAATGAATTTTGGAGCGAATTTTAAGGGTTCACAACTTTTGGACACATCTACTTACCTAAGAGGAGTGTTAACTGGACAATTTGAAAATGTTGAAATTTCTCCAAGGTAGCAATTGCGCAAGTATAAAAGGGTAACTTAGGAGCTTGGAGAATAACTTTTTTTGCACATTCATACTTTGTACTCGATCTTATCGAGCTTTCTAGAGAGAAATTGAAATCTAGCTACGTACATCCCGTGTTCAAAGTGTCCAACATCAACCTATAATAGAATTCGTTCATGAAGTGTTTGAGACACTATACTCAAGGGGACTTTATTATAAATAAATGCACTGAAGTAGTCAAATAGTGATGCTAGGTGATGATTATGATGTTCAAAGGACTTGGAGTTTGAGCTAGTAACAAGGGGATTTGGTGGTTGATTTTTGTGAAAGGCTATTCATGTGTATTTGTAACAATACATATATAGTGAATTCAATCCTCTAATGTATATGAGAAGATCAAGTACAGTGGAGTAAAGAATTTTCTGAACCGCTATAAAAAAGACACACACTCTGTCTATATGACTATACTACTCTATTAATCTATAAGCAAATCATCCACACACACAAACACTTAAGCATTCAAAACCAACAAAGCTACAAAGCTTTTTCTTAAATTCTTGGCAAGTTACTTTTGTTGTGAACATTTTTATATGCTTTAAATTCAATATTTTTATATAAGCCGATGTATTCAACCCCCATCTTAACTTTTACTTGTCACCGGGACCAACAAATTAAAATTGCCATTTTCCATCTTTCAATCATGGGCTGGGTTTGCTCCAACCATTCTCTTATTTCAATACTTGCTCTGATCCAATAGTTCCAATGCACTAACAAACACAACAAAGATCATTCTTAACATGCATTAGATCATACTTTGATTTAAGACCAAGGGATTATGCAATAAAGATTACGAATTTATATAATGCAATTACACCCAAAAATCGATCCAAAGTTGAGAAGAAATGCATGTATGCACAATTAAGAACATACAAGGTGTTATATATTTTTAATACATTGGGTTAGATAAACCCGTCAGTTTAAATTAGAAAATAGAATTCTAGCTAATACCATTTAATAATAATTATTTTTCTTGAGATATAAACTTTAAAATTTTTTTTGAATAAAAAATTGTTCAAACGTGAGTTCGTTTGTAAACTAACTATTTCTTATTTAAGATATAAATAATGCACTATTCTAACATATTTGTCAATTTGGTTTCACAAAACAAATTAAACACACGGGTGCTTTGATAAATTTATATCTATATAACAATAGAAGAGTCCAAATTAGTACAATAGCAACTTAATTGAAACCTTTTAAAGTAGGGATGACAACAGAGCGGGGAGTATACTCATCGTCTTTGAAACCCTAACCCTGTCCTGTATGTCCCCGTCTCCATCCTTGATGAAGAATTGAAAATAGTCTCTATAGAGGAGTTGGGACCTATATATATGTTAAGCTAATCAACACTTCAGATCCACAGCTAACCCACAACTAGATACCACTTCAACAGATTCAATAGATGATTTTGCAGATCTTAGATATCGATGGCTGAATTGTGAAGAAAAAGAGGTTGGGGAAAACTGACGAAGAAAGAAAGAATTGAAGCAGTAATAAGATGGGAAGAAGAAAAAAGGCTGTAGAAGATTGACGAAGAAAGAAGAAAAGTGAGGAAGCAATTTGTTGCGGCTAGGATTCGATGCTTTCGTGGTTACTGTTCATCCGTGTGTTTTCTAAATAGAAAACACATTTTTAGTGTGTCTCAGATTTTCTCTTAAATGGAGAATATTTCTCAGTTTTGGAAATAGGAAAAGAATATAGTAAACACTTGACCCTGTTTTCAGTTTTCAAGTTAGGCTTGTGATAAGACAGTCAAAGACTCTCAAAATATTTTCCAATCACTTAGGTGAGCTTTTCTCTTCCCCAGCTTCTATCATTTTTAAGTGTTTCATTATATTTCTCTCTTAGCTTGTATACTAGTATCTGTGATTTGATTTAATTTAACTTTATTTGTTGTAGCTCTTCCTATAATATCAATGCAAGAACATGCAAGGAATGGAAATATTATGTGTACTCTCATTGGGAACAGAACAAGAACATGCGCAAACACTTGTATTTGGATCTACGTATTTAACATGTAGTGTCCTAATTCTATATACGTATATAACATGTAGTGTCCTAATTCTATATAGGAAAATATTATGTGTACTCTCATTTTTTACTCTAAATTTTTACTTTTCACATACAAAATGTTGATGTAAACACTTGTATTGGGATCTACATAAAAAAAAAAACCTATGAGAGCATGTCATATCGATCAAGAAGTAAAATTGATGGAGTAAGATTTGAAAGTCCATGTAGTAAATTGATGAGGTAAGATTTGAAAGTACATGTTGTAGTAGAACTCTTAACTGATTCATAAAAGGAAAAAATAAATAAACCATATAATTAGAAGGTTATTGACTGAAGTGAAAAACCTGGTTGTTAACATCAAAGTATGAGTTTAACTTTGGAAGAGGTAGGTGAGGTGGGTGTAACATAATTATCGACTTCTCCTGTTTAATGATTATTATTAAAGGCTGATCAGATAACACACTGCACGTACTATCACACTAATAATCCTAATTAATTAATTAAGGATACTTATTAAGTGATAATATTTAGCTAGAAAACCGGCGAACCCACCGGAGACGCCATCAGATTATTAAGGATGCTGTTCCAGTAACGGCTGATGTCTTCCACGTCGGCCGTGCCGCAGTTTCCGACGATATTGTCGTGGTCCAAGTATCCGGTGAGGGTTTCCGGTGAAAGTTCCGTGAATCCATGAATGAAGGTTGGGAGCTCCGATAAGGGATCCATGGCAACGTGCGGGATTATGTCGTCGCCGGTGGTGTTAGGGTTTCCTATATTCCAAGAACTTTCGTGGTCGGAAAAGTTTAAGTTTTGGTCGGGAAAGTTTAAGTTTTGGTCAGAAAAGTTTAAGGTTGTCGGAGATTGATGTGGAGTTGCGTTTGAGAGAAACGCGCCGTCGTGTACATGGGATAATGAAACCCTCGTCCTCGGCGGCTTGGTCCACGTTTCTTGCCAAGCTTTTAGCTCGTCGAGAGACGGCGGGACTTTGGGCGGCGGCGGCGGCGATGGCTTGTGGAGGCGGAAGTGGTGAGGTGAGATAAGAGAGGAACTGATGAACTTAGAGTGGCGGACGAGGCGAGCTTCGGCTTCCAGTCGGGCGGTCTCCCACTGGGCCATGTGGCTGAGATTGGCGGCGGAGCCGAAG